GTGACTCTGCTGCCAGATGGAGCCGTAGTCAATGAGCGGGGCTGAGGTGGGTAAAAGCCGTCCGTCTACCTGGCTGGATGTTGGCAGGAAGATGGAAACAGAACCGGTTTGACGACAGCGCCGTGGGAAATCTTCAGATGGTTTTACACGATAAAAAACGGGTGGAGGCTGTGGTCCGATGATGACTGATACAACTTCCTCTCCTGCCTGGGAGAGTTTGCTTTGGGGTGAAAGGAGATGCAGATGGGTTCAGGAGGAGCAGCTAGAGGAGCAGAGACAGAACGGCTGGTGGTGGAACAGGTCAGAAGGTCCTGGCATGAAGAGGACGGTGTAAGGTCTGGAAAGCTCAGGGTGTCACCTCAGATGACCCTGGAGGTCAGGATGAGACCCGCCCCCTCGGAGTCTGAGGCGACTGGTTGAACGCTCCGATTGGGTTGGGAAAGAGAACCCTGGTTCATGAGGGACGGTCGGATGAACCAGGAGATGGATGTGCATCGTCGATGTTCCAACCCGCACTTCTCATCACGAGCCTCAGAAGAAACGAGCCTGGACACAAGGAGCTATAAAGAGTTTCCTCTGTAGGGTCCTATACAGGAGCCGCTCCTCCTCAGAGGTAGGAGTCAGCCAAGGAGGTGCAGGCTGGGTCATATTTGAGGTGTTTTTGCTCTGCAGGAGCAGCAGGAGCTGTAAAGACTTCCCAATCATGACTGTGAAGCAGCAGAACCATCCAAACATCAGTACCTGGAGTTGAGGTGATCCTGACAACCTCTGACCTCGGTGGAAGATGGGTGTCCTCCATCCAGGAGCTGCTGAACGATCTGATTCACATCCAAGATTCGCCCCATCAGGCTGTTCATCTCCTGGTCCAGACTCTCAAACCTGCCACCGGAGGACGTGTTGGTCAGAGAACAGTTGAGATGGTTTATGGTTAGGATGTTCTCCTGCTCCTCCTTACCTGTGCGCCACCACCTCCACATCCTCCAGGTTTTCCGGGATCTCCATCTTATCCAGCCACTGCTCCTTCTCATCAATCCAGAGCTCGCAGGCATTGACCTCGCTGAACATCCGGTAGACGGCCAGCGCGTCGTGAAGCCACTGCTGCCTGAGCACCGCGACCTCTGCGACCTCCGTATACAGCTGCTCCACTTCTCCCATCCTCACCTGCACCTCCTGCTGACAGAAGGAGAACACACTTAGTGAAAGCAACCAGGAACATCAACACATGATGAGGCGCACGGACCTCCTGATCGCGGTACTGCAGAGGCAGAGCCACCAAGTGTTTGTGCAGCGCCACCACATGTAAGCGGTGTTTGTCGATGGCGTCGGTGACGCCTTTGTGCTTCTTCAGCAGCGACTGAGTGGAGTACTCATCGTGACCGAAGTCTTCGCTGGAGACCAGGCGGTAAGCATCCTGCAGCCAGGCCACCACATCGTCAGTCTCAGCGGAGAACTGGAAGAAGTTGAGCGCCTCCTGCAGGTGGTTGAGATGCTGCGCGGCCTGATCCTCCAGCTTCTTCCACTGGCTCTTCACCTCCATGATGTGCTCCTGGATGCCCACCGTGCCGAAGCTCTTCTCACTCAGGATCTGCTTCCCTCTCTTGATGGTGTTCTGGAGAGGAGCAACGAAGAGCGGTGACGCCAGACCTCCATGAAGGTTTCACTGGTCAGTTTGATCGATGTCTCTAATTTATAATTCAGAACGACCAGCTTCAAAAATAACAGTAAAGTCATACGAATATTTAAATGAGGCAAAATAATATGAATCATGCAAACGTATTAAAATAACTTAAAGAACATTTATAAATGAGATTTAATAAAAACACTATAGAACAAACATAATAACATCAATAATAATCATTATTTCTACAACATCCTTAACTTAAAAGAGAAAAACCTGATAAAGATTGACTTAAAGAGGCGGACGCCGAGCCTGATCTGAGACTCAGGTGCAGCAACAGGAGCACACCTGCAGCAGCGAGCGGTGAGCCAGCAGCTCTCCAGCCAGAGTTTTGTGTTTCTGGAGCAACCTCAGCACGCTGCTCAGGTCTCTGCCGTAGCCCTGGGCAGCCAGGATGGAGCTTTTCTCCCGGATCCAGGCCTCCGACTCCTCCAGCTCCTAACCAGGCAACAATGGGGTCAGAAAACAGTCTTTAAAGGTATTCAGGAATAACTTCACCTGATAATGACATTTCTGATTCCAAGCCTAACCCAAAAGAAGAGCAAAAGGACGACTCTTGACTACAATCGTGTTAACCTTAAGCTCGAACATCGCAGACTCGTTTTAGTTTGTGCTGAAGCTGAATCAAGAGCAAGGCATGGGTCTTACTCCCCCCCCCCCCCCCCCCCCACACACACACACACACACACTTCCTGTTTGAAAAATGTGCAAAAAGGGGACAGGGTCTGAATTTTTTACTTTAAATAAGATGCACTAAATCACAGCGACACACGTCTGCAGCTCGTTTTTACAGTTTAGCAGAAAAACAAGCTGCTGAGTTGG